TGCATTATTATTAAGAATAACATCTACACAAGTAAGGCCTAGATCATAAATGCATCCTTTCACTGTAAAAAAGATACTGTAGTATCTATAACATTAAATCATGATACTTTCTATGATCTTCAGAAGTAACCACTCTTTAGCAGTTAAATTAATGGCAATAGTAAGTTTTCCTTTAGCTAAAACATAAAGAATACGACTTTAGAAAGTTTTATAACCAAACTCTTTATCGCAATGTGAAATATCCTCAAGCAAATCTTTTATATAATATCTGTGGTCTGGAAGTGTGTATTTCAAAAGTATAGTATTTGAGAAAATGAATGCCTCTTGGATGACTACATTCAGAAACTGTTGCCACAGAAACCATGGGGGAGGACAGCATCAGGGGAATGAGAAAGAATAGAAACAAAAGAAGTGGATTGGCCATTTATGTGCAGAAAAGCAAGAACGGGTATTTGGCCAGCTAGAAGTGTCAAACCTTCAGATATCCAGCAGTTCATCTACTGAAATGCAAAGCTGCGAGATACATCTGCAATACGATTCCTTACAGTATCAGTCTGCTATGAGAGATACCCCTGTATAATCCAGAGTGGACAGTGTTCAAAAAATGACATGAGGAAAATATGACAGGGTGCTGTCTCCCTGAAGCAAAAACACAAAAGGCAATTGCACTACTGCTGAAGCTTATAAGGTTATCTGGGAGATAACTCAGTTTGGAACCAGTTATGTGGCATCAAGTGGAACCATACAGGCCATAGAAAACTGCAGGAATCTTGAAAGGCACTCAAATGGGAAGTCAGAGATTGCCTTGAAGTTTCTTCCTACCCATAAATTAGAGAAAGCAGGCAAAATATACTTGGCGTGAAGTGCTCTTTCTGTCTGTAGTTCCAAGGGAAAATTTAGATACTGTGGAGTATTGGACCACGTTTCAGAAAGAGTGGGGGATGTATGGCTATGCTGGCCTGCATCTGACAGGTGTGGGCTAATCGTGGCTGGAGACTAAGCACGGGAGCTGGGAAGATGCTAAATTAGTAACATACAGAGAGACTGATTTTTTTCTAAAATGCCATGTTAACTGAGGTGCTGTGGTATGAGCAAACTGAACTCATGCCGCATAGAATGAGGGGAAATACAGAAAGACTTTCTGTGCTATTGACCATTAAAATGAGGTAAAATATGAGGAAACGAGTAAGAGAATTGGAAATTATCACAAGTAAGCCCCTTGAGGTGATGGGAATTATTCAAAAATTAAGTATGCCAGATATTTGACCAGCTAAGGAAAAACAGAGTGGGTAGACCAGGATTGTGCATGTGTTTGTGTACGCTTGAAGAGACAGAGCTTTGAAAGCAGTTAGAGTCACTGCAATGCATATAGATCAGTATGGTAACTAACCCTGCCTAGGAAAAGATATCAGTCATATCTTGTATCACTGGGGAGAGACAAGATCCACCTGACAAAATGCGACAAGGGCATCTTTGCCAACTGGCCAGCCAACCTGCTGAGGAGAACTTTAACTAGGAACAAGGAAGTCTCTTGATCACAGACCCTGGGTTTGGGGGGAATTTCAGCCTGCCTGACATCTGCTACAAGCACAACACCTCAGAATGCAAGCAGTTGAGGAGAGTTCTGAAGGTCATCGAGGATAACTTCTTGATACTGGCTGGGCCAACCAGGGGTGATTTGCAGCTGGATCTGCTCTTCACTAACAGGGAAGAACTGGGGGATCTGGTAGTCAGTGGCTTGGTTATCAAAGCCTGGGCTGTAGTGACTAAGGAGTTCGTGATCCTGTGGGGCCTGAGGAAGGAGAGCAGCAGACTACAGCCCCTGGCTTTAGGGGAACAGACCAGTTTATTCAGGAAACTGGTAGGTGGGATCCACTGAACAGCGGCTCCAAAGGGTAAAGTTGCTCGGGAAAGCTGGCAGGAGAGCACAAGGATCCTGCTATGGAGAAAAACGAATAGATGTATTAGTATTTTCAGCAGTGAGAAAGCAAAACTGATGTGCTGTGAAATCAAAAAGAGTGGCTAAATGGGAAATTAAATTCGGGCTGGGGTTATCATAAAATCTGTATTGTTTGGTAAATTCATCCCATTCAGATACATTGTGTTTCAGTATAGGCATTAAGTAGAGTTACTTGAAAATACAGTGAGCAGGTTACGTCTGCAGAGATGAGGGACTGTGATGTGGAGAGCAGTGACTGAAAAGAAATTAAGAGTTGACAGTGGCCAGGACAGCAAAAATTAATTTCCAGTCTAATGCTATGGTAGAAGCAAATAATGGAATCCTTGACTATATAACCAGGGCTGTGGCAAGTAGGAAGAGACATTGTTTTCCTTCCACAGATGGCATTAGGTGAGATTTTTTTGGTAATATTGTGTTAGCCTCTAGTGTCCTTGTTGTCAAAAGAATTCTGAGAAATTATTTGAGGCTGGAGGAAATTCTTTGCATGGAGAGACTTAAAGAGCACAGTCTGTTTGGCTTATCAAAAAAAAAGACTGGAAGGTGGCTACAGTGATCTTTAATCTTGCACAGTGAGAGGCATAACAAGAAAAATACCTAGAAACTGAAATCAAACAAATTGAAATTAGAAATTATGCACATTTTTTAACAGTGGAGGACATTAATGGTTGTAGTATGCTGCCAAGAGACATGGCATATCCAGTATCTCCTAAGGGCTTCGGATAAAGAGTAGGTGCTTTTCTTACAGAAGTACAGTAGTTGAACAGATAGAATTAATTCCCTGCCCTGAAAGTCCCTCAGAGCATGTAGTTGTTGTTATTACATAGTATTTGAATTACCATAACACCTAGAAACACAAGTCAGAGACCAGAGCACTTTGCCTCCTTAGTCACTATGTAAAACATTAAGAGAAAACCCCATTCTATCTTCTGAAGAACTTACACTCCAAATGTGCAGAGGCACCAAGAGACACAGAGGAGCAAAGAGAAAATATAACAAGTGTGAACTGCTGCTGATCTTGTGCCTCTCCTTGTTTCATAATCTTGTGGTTTGGCAGGCACCCAGCTTACTCTGGGGTGTGTGGGTAGGTTGGCTTTAGAAATTGAAGAGTAGGCATGGTACAGGTATGTTTGTGCCTGTATCATCTATCTGTGACTACAGATGGGTTTGCTGAGTCTGGGGCATGTCAGGTTTTTATTAATGTTGCTTGACAAGAGAATTGGTCCCATGAATCTATTTACCCCTCCACTAACCAGTCAAACCACCAACTAGTCAGACTATTGCTGCAGTATCTGAATGCAGACATATCACATCTGTTGTTGGACTAGTATACAGTACGGCTACAAGATCATAGCATAATAGGACCATAGGATAATTCAGGTTGGACGGGACCTCTGGTGATCTCTAGTCCAACCTTCTGCTCATAGCAGAGTCAGATCTGAGGTCAGAACAGGTTGCTTTGCGCATATATACCTCTTTACTTGTTCTGGAAACTCTTAAATTTGGATCCAGACATAATAGCGGGGGGGGGGGGGGGGGGGGGGGGTTTGTTT